GTAAATTTCAAGACAATGCGAGCGTTGATATTCATCACGACTTACAGGACACGCATATAAGCATTTGTTCCGTTAGTGTTCCGCCACTTTTCACTGATAATTTTGATTACGAAACCAGAGACCACTTCATCGATGGTATTATAGTCCACGAAGAGGTGTTTAATAGCTTAAAATAATTAGATTTTATTGATTTTTAACTTATGTCTGTGTTTGGTATTAATTTTTCGTGCAGTTATTGGGACATTCAATTTACGCACATATAGTGGACACCGGGTATTGCGCCCGCGTTAACAACATCTCCAGCTATGACCGCATCTGTAAAGATATATTACAGCGCTTTACGCACCCGACCGTACCTGAGATGCAAACTAGTTGTACATATCAGAGACACAACATTTATAAGAAAACAGGCGTTCATTTGGAAGTGTAAGCATTTTTTTAGGAGCATTTGTTTATATTTATTTAACATTACTTTTGGTTAATTTGATGACAATTAGTGACACGAAAATCAAAGAAAATGTTGCGATTGGAACCGATTCTTCATTTGGTAGCAAAACGTTTATAACTAACAGCACTGTTGGCTCTAATTGTCGGATTGGCAACAATGTTACGATAGAAGACACTTATATTTGGGATAATGTGGTCATTGAAGACAACTGTGTCCTCAAACAGTGCATTATTGCAGATAATGTGCACTTGAAGTCAAATGTGACCATAAAAGGCGGTTCCCTTATATCATATAACGCCGTTTTGGGACCAAATATTACGCTCAAGAAGTTTACGCACATATTTTACGATAAGGACAAAAAAGGTGTTAAATTTGATAAAAGTATTGTTGGAAACGAAGGCAAAGGAGTTGTTTATATTGCGGACAAAGACGAAGAGTCCGAAGAGGAAGAGGCCGTCTTTGAAGAGATTTGGGGCGAAAGTGATGACGAGAACGAAGACGAAGACAAGTGGACGACTTCGACCACATTCTCTGATAACAACACGTCTGACAACGAACTCATTGACACTGATTTGGTTGACGACACAAAAGGTGAGTGTTTTTATTTGCGGCAATTGTTATGCATAAGTGTCTAATGATATGCTGTTTACGACAGTGTTTTTCGACGAAGTGGTCGATAGTCTTCAACGGGGTATAAAAGAGAGGGTCGACTGCGATAATCTGATTCTTGAGATTAATTCATCGAAGTATAGTCTAAACCAATGTTT